GAGGATTTCCCTAGTAACACAGGGTAAAAGAAAAGCAAGCACAATTTATTGTAAGAAAGTTTAAATGGACTCACAAGACAAGTAGCAGTAAGGAAAAGCATGTTCTGAAATGTCAGCATTCTTGCTGTGGTCTTCTGTTTTCAATTTCACATCTTTAAAATGTAAACCATCAGACTAATGAACCAATTACTCAGCAGCATAAGGATTAAAATAAAATTATGTCTTAGTTTTTACTTGGAAATTAAAGATGATTGTATTGGAAGAGCAGGAAATCAGAAGTTTTAAATAAATTTGTTTTCAATAATGTTTAAGATTTATTTTTTTAAAATTATGCATGTGCTTGTCTGAGTGAGGATATGTACATGTGAGTGCAGGTGCCCAGAGACCAGAGGTGTTGAATCCCCTGGAACTTGAGTTATAGGCAGTTGTGAGCCTCCCAACATGGGTGATGGGAATCAAACTCAGGTCCTTTGGAAGAACAGTATGCACTCTTAATCACTGAGCCTTCTCTCCAGTCCCTGAAAAGATTTTTATTAATTAAATTTGTTTTTTTGGAAATTCCCTACATCAGATGATGACTTCTGATTACTCTCACCTGCCCTCTTTTATCTCTCTCCCATGTTCCTCATCAATGTGTCTGTCCAGCCCCAGTTCATGGTGTTTTTAAATTTTAATGTTTTATTACCCAGATAATTTTGTTCATAATGACATTCTATTTTGAAGGGAAGTATTGTTTCTGTTTCTTTTTTGCCTCTGTGTGTACTCTTTCCCCTCCTTTACATTTCCTTGTACTTTGATTTGCTTTGATTTATATTCTTATGTTTTATACTTTGTTCACTACTCCTTTTTACATTTTTCAAATTTTGTTTTCAAAGTTAATCTTAGTATTGGGAAATTGTTCTTTGCTTTTCTTTTTCTCTTTCTTTTTATTTAAAACTTTCCTAATTTTAGTTCTTTTCTGTTCCCTACTATAACATTTGTTTCTATTTCTCTTTTTCCTTCCTGTCTCTTTAACTTTGCCTCTTCTTTTCTCTATCAATGTCTTCTTTATGTCACTATGTCCACAATCACCTTAAATAGTATTTGATTTCCTAACACATTCTACTACAGGAAAAGTTTCATCATGTACTGGAGAATGCCCTACTAGCATCATGTGCTAATTCATAATGTGGTGTTCCCTAATGAAAATACCAAAATATAAATAAAATATTTGTGACATCTCATGCATAATTCAGACATTGAGATGCTTTGAAATAGTCCATTGCCTCAGTATTTTTGGCAAAATAATATATTAAGCACTCTGGTGGCTGAGTCCACATAGCCACAGTGGATATGGAGAATAGAAATTGAATTTGACTTATTATTTTATTCATTTTTAAATAGGATAAGAAATATTTATTCTGGATTCAAATATTAGTGACTGTGGTCCTGGAACAGAGATTCAGGATACTCCATATTCCATGTTCCAAAGTGAGTAGAAGCAGTTTCATGAACGTTGTATAGTAACAGAACAAAGAAAACTCATTAATCAAAACACTTCAAATATGTTGTTGGAAACATTAAGTAGGCAGTTACAGCAAAAGAGAAATCTCAGTTATAGGCCTCAGATGCTATCTGGTGACATTCAGTCTTTTGGTTGCTGGAAGCCGGTAGTTTGTTAATACATTCCAAATGTTTTTTATCTGTTAGTCACAGGATGTTAAGTCAGAAACAAATGAGGGCAAGCAATGGCTATTTAGGGGTTAAAGATGGTCCAAAATAAATTTTATTGCTTTGGACCTGCAACATTCAAAACTCTCCATTGTCACTGAACTTCTAATCAATTGTTTAGCCTTTGTGGAAGGTTCACTTTGAAGATGCAGTTTTTCTGGAAACTTTCATCACAGATTCCTCAGTTGGTCAAGCATCACTTTTTGTGCCACATACTTATTTCCCACATTACTAGGAAAGACTTCTGGGATCTGATGTAGATGAGGATGAATAGCAGCAGAAAGAACAGTCTTTAGGAAAGATGACTAGCTGGTAAAGCCAATAAGGAAGAAACTCCTGGAGCATATCAAAACTATCAGCCATCATGAACCAGATCAAGAATATCCACCATGATCAAATTGGATGATATGAAACTTTTTAAAAAAAGGATGATATAAAGTTGTGTGTTGGGGTGGTAATGGTAGAGAGGTGTTGTTGATCTGGGAAGAATTAGGGAATTTAGAAAGTGGGTGTGAAGATGATCAAAATACATTGTATGAAACTTGCAAAGAATTCATTAAATTATATTTAAAAAAGTAGTTGGTCTATAGCAAGTGAGGGATAGGGACCTTCATTCGGAATTCACTTTTGAAAGAATCATTCCTTTTCAGAACCAATTTGCTACCGATAGATACAGAGAGAGGGGAAATCCTTGCCTTCAGTTGGATACCAACTAATGACCCCACCATGCTCCCATGGATAGTCCAATCCAGTGGTCATGTGGATGGTCTTTGTTAAAGGAAAGAGGTCACAAAGGTCATGAACAGGGGACTGGAGAAATGGCTCAGTGGTTAAGAACACTTACAGTTCTTCTAGAGGACAGGAGTTTGAGTCCCAGAACCCATGTGGCGGCTAACAACCATCCAGTTCCAGGGGATCAGATTCCCTCTTCTGGCCCCTTTGGGCATTGTGCACACATTTTGCACTTACATACATGGAGGCAAAGCATTCATACATATAAGATAAAAATATTCCATTACCATTTCTGATCTCCCTCCCATACCTGTTAACTGTTTACTTTTTAAAAAAGTCACGAGGTGGCTGAAGAGATGGCTCAGTGGTTATGAGAACTGGCTGCTTTTATAGAAGACCCAGGTTTGATTTCCAGCACCCACATGGCAGCTAACAAACATCCATAATTCATCTGACCTCCACTGACACTGTACGACACAAATACACTTGCATTCCTGCAGGTAATATACTGCTATGCACGAAGTAAAAAATAATAAAATAATTTTGTAAGAAAAGGTCATGAAGCCCACTGGGTGAAGTGGCACTCACCTATAGTCTCAGTAGTCAGGAGATAATGGAGGATCTCTGTGAGTCTGAGGACAACCTGGTTTACTTAACGAGTTCCAGGTCAATCAGTGCTACAGAGTGAGACCCTGTCTCAACAAAACCAAAACCAAAACAGACAAATAACAATAAAGAAGCGATGGCCTGGGAAAGCATCTGGTATCTCTGAGGGAAGCAGTTAACAGCTATGGGAGGGCAATCAGAAACGGTGGTTGGAGAGAGTAATCAGATTACATCATATATATGTATGAATCATTGAAATGATATCAATAAATAAAAACAGGCCAATAGAATATTTCAGAAATTGTTTTGAAACATTGTATGATTATGAAACTCAAAAGGTATAGTATAATGTTTTATGCATAGTAATGAATTTTCTAGTAACTGATGTGGTAGAGTTTAATGACAGACCTTTACAGTGTTTTTTTTTTTTTTGTATGTGTGTGTGGTCTTGTGTCTTGTGTGTGCACATGCCTGCAGGTACACAAGCCTGAGTGTACACACAGATCACAGAGCCTGAGATCTCATGAGTTATATTCCTGTGTTGCTGTTTCCTTTATCTTTTAGGCAGGGTCTCACAGAACCTGGGCCTTGGCTCAATACTTCTACAAGACTGCCTGGATGGTGAGCTTGTAGGATCCTCTTGTTTCTGAGTCCTCTTCTCCCTCCATGACACAAAAATTACTCCTGCTAACATATCTGGTTTTCAGCTTTTTTTTTACATGGGTGCTAAGGATCCCACCTTGTGTCCTTGAGCTTTTGAAGCAAGCTCTATACACACTGAATCATCTTTCCAGCTTCCAAGGTTAAATTTGGTAACAGATTTGTTAGGATTTGTAGCCACACATGCTAAAAGAAATAAAAAATGGAAATGACGCGTTGTTGAGGAAATTGTTTTACCACTATAAACCATAGAATTTAAGTAATTATGTAAATTTTCTAGAAAATAAAATGCAAAAATATATGTGCATTTAAATAGATATATGAAAAATGAAAAAGAAATCTTGTTACTGTTTTGGTACCTTGAACATTAAAAAATATTAGGAAGGTGAAATATTGTTACTCTGAAAAGTCCTCACAATTCCCAAGTTTTTACCCTTCCTGTCACCTGGAACCTCAGAGGCTCTCTATGAATATTTGGCACATGAAATAATAAAATCTCATGAAATGTAGCCAAGAGGCCTATCAGACATCATTCACAGGCGTGTGCAGTGACTCATCGCATTTGGAAACCAACTGTCAAACTGAAAAGACAGATGAAAATTTTGTATAAATCACTTCAGCAAAGCAACTGGAATTATAAAAAAGAAATTCTGCTTTCACCCTCATGTGTAAGAGTAACAATTAAAAATAAACAAAATAGTAAAATAAATAGTACAATGAAAATTTGAAAGGTTAAGTGTGTTATAATATAAATTATATAAAATACATTGAAGAGAATTATTATGGTTAAACTATTGCCACATAAATAGTGATTGCACAGAATTATGGGATTCCAAGAAAAATCATTTATATATAGAGAGATACAAATTGAAATAGTCATTTGAAACTAACTGATTATAGTGACCAATATATCTTATTTAATATGTGGAATTGTAGGAAATGTTGTCAGAATTCATCTTTATCCATGTAATACTACCTATGCTTGAATTTTCAAACCATGTGGTGTCATTGTTGCTGTGTCCAAGCGTGTGATTGTGTGCATACACACAATGTGTGTTAAGAGGTACTGGACCTATGATACTGCATTATAATATTTTATCTTGCATTAATTGAAAGACCAAACATAATTTCAATGACTTATAGAAGAAATCAGAATTTCTGCAATGACAGTGACCATATAATTATAGCATATTATAGAAAAATGTTCTTGTTTTTACAGTATTAACATTAATATTATAAATTGGGGAAATCCAGATGACCAAGGACATTCCTCCTGTGTAAGTTGGAGATCACTAACAACAGAACAAAAATGATTTTTTCACATTGAATTCTCCACCTGGAAGTAACTTCCTTACAGCCCTTTTCACAACCTCATTCCTCAGACTGTAGATAACAGGGTTGAGTACTGGAGGAAGTACTGTGTAAAACAGGGAGAGCATGAGGTCAAAAGTAGTTGGAGAATCTGAGGTTGGCTTTAGATATGCACAGGTTGCGGTGAAGTAAAAGCATGATACAACCAATAGGTGGGGAAGACAGGTGGAGAAGACCTTAGACCGACTTTCAGCAGAGGGCATTCTGAGGACTGTGGAGAATATCTGGACATAGGAGAGGGTGATGGTTATGAAACAGGCAAATGCCATGACAGCAATAAAAGCAGACACCCCCATTACCACAAAGTAATCGTTGGAGCAGGAGAGCTTGAGCAATTGGGGGACATCACAGAAGAACTGGTGGATGATTTTGTCTCTGCAGAATCTAATTGAGAATGTGGTTGCTGTGTACAAGGTTCCTGAGATGCCTCCACTTATCCACATAGCTGACACAGCCCACCTGCATATTCTGGGACTCATGATGACCTCATAGTGCAGTGGGAGGCAGATGGCCACATAGCGGTCATAGGACATCACTGTGAGAATGGCCACATCACCCCAGGCCAAAGATGTGAAGAAGAAAACCTGAAGTACACATTGAGCATAGGAAATATATCCACTGCCAGTCAGGGAATTGTGGATAGACTGGGGGACAGTAACAGACAGGGAGGAGAGGTCGAGAAGGGACAGGTGCTTCAGGAAGTAATACATTGGAGATTGGAGCTGTGGGTCCAGCATTGTGATGGTGATGATGATGAAGTTACCTGCCAAGCCCAACAGTTGCATCACCAAGAAGAGAAAAGTGTGTAGGATCTGCAGCTCCCGGGTATCAGAGAACCCCAGGAGGAGGAAGCCACTCACTGTGGTTATGTTTATCACCCTCATTTTGAGAATTGAAGTTGTGCACATAAGCTGAAAAATAAAGGAAATGCAGTAGAGAAATGTTCTCCAAGATTTTGTGCCTTTATTTAGCAACGCTTATTTCAACATTTAATGTTGTATCTGTTGTTTACCAGTTTTGCCTGTGGTGGTAGGAATCCAAAGTATCTAATTTTGCCTAGGGTACATTTGTATATGTAATGCACTACACTTTTGTAGCAAACTGATGACCCTATAGACAGAATATGATTTTGGATCTCGAAGGATATTGCCTGTGACACATGACACCTGACTCCTTCATAGCAAACCAGGGGGTTTGTGAGAAGCTCCTTTATCATGGAGCCTAGGGCCAGAATGTGTTTTGATTTTGCTCTTTCAGATACCACTGTATGAAATGGAGGTGTGATGGAAATCAAGAGCAGAATCACTGTTGCTGACACATACATGCCCAGGATTCTCACACAAGGAATCTCATTTGTTTGCTCTTAAGATTGCCTGGTGTGGAAGAATTTGTTTTAGAATCTTCAGTGTACATAGCTCTTTCCTTAACATTTGCCACCCTCTGCAGTCATTGGATAGTTACTGACCACCCACTGGATCAGAGACTGTCAAAGGAAAAAAGCGTGACTTTATAATTGGAAGGAGAACATTCACAACACAGTACACAACTTTAGAGAGACTGCATTGTACACAGATGAGAGAGAAAACCACATTTCATTTATGGTCCATTGTTTGATCTTTGTTGGATGGAGTAACCAAGCCTTCTCCTCTCTCCAAATCCCCAACATATGAAGTTGATGTCTCATTATCAGTATTTTTAATTTACTTTTATATTTTTCCATTGTCTGTGATTTTGACCACAATTCTAAAAAGCTGGAAAAATTCATCTTTAGTGCAGAGGCTTTATTCTAAACACTTTAAAATCATGATGCGTCTTCTTCTTGCTCATCAACTTAGCAATGGTGTCTGGGAGAATCCTATCCTTGAAGGCAGCACTCTGTCCCATAAATTATTAACATGGGATAGGCCTTTTTACCCTAATTCCAGTCTGTCCTGATGACAGTATGGACATTTTACTTGCTCCTCACATCTTCAGTTTGTAAATAGTGAAGATTAAATGTGGGCATTCCACTTCTAAACCCTGTTACCTGGAAGAGTTTTTCCATCTTGATTACAATAAAAGTGGTTGTTACTGCAGGGCATGGTGGTCGCAGCCTATATCAACACTCTGGTGCTATGACCCAGATCAGAAATCTGCCAGAGATATACCATGGGACAAACTCAGAAAGAAATAGCACAGAGAGGGGCTATTAAGTTAGTTAAACATTTCAGTTGCAATTCCTCAGCTGTATTTGAAAGTGTCTTGATGCTTATACTTGATTGGAATAACACATTTAATATGTCTAGGATTTTCTCAAAGCAATTAATTCCCTTGAAAGTTTCAAACCACATAATGGAAATGGGAAAACTAGAGATCAGAGTTATACTTCCAACAAATGTTGCTTTCTCCCCAAGTTTTTTTTCCATTTTCCCTAGAAATAGTAACAGTAACAATGTCCATACTTAATGTTTGGTTATTTAATATTTTAACCAGCAAAATAAACACATAGTTATCAACAAAGAGGAAGTGGGAAACAATAAATATTCACATTCATTTTTACAAGACAAATATCACACTATCACCTGTTCTAAAATCCATCTCCATCCACACAGGCAGTTTCATCTCCTTGGAGTTAGGCATTTGAATCCACATTTTTATGGGAAATATTAAGTTTCAGAATAGTGAAGTGGGAGCATTGAGATATGAGCTAATTGGACTCATTCAAATTCTTATTTAGCTCTGATAAATATGAATGAAATGGATGTACCAATATTCGCACATTTTCCTGAACATACACCATCAGGGATCTGTCTCCTCATCAGAGATCATTTGAAGATGTGTTTCAGAGAGGCCTTTCAGATACAAACGTAAAATATTCATCTTTCCCAATATGTTGGTTTTCCCTGAATGGTCCCCCTTCATAATATGAGTGTATGAATTAAATACATCATTTTATTTTTTGTTTATTTATTTATTTTGCTCCTTTTCAGTAAGTTCAATGTCTTTACTGGCTAGACCGGTCTTGGTTTTGTAAACTTAATTTGAAGATTATAAAATGCTCTCAGAATTCTCATAAAATTCCTCTTTTCTCAGCCAAGATTTGGACAACTCACCACAACATGTCTTGGTACGTGTGTAGCTCTCCAAGCTGACAGGCAACTTCTAAAAATTCACGTCTACAGTTACAGATTTTAAAAACATGGTTTTCCCTGTGGGCCAGGTTTACTTTACTTTTCTTGGAGACGTGGTGGGGTAGCAATTGTTAAAATGAAGGTGTTCACCTACTGATGAAAACACTTCATTTTCTTTCACTCTTTGCCACCAGGGTCTTAAAGTCATTAAACTTTGACTCCCTGGGTGAGGGAATTGATGACCTTGGAGCTTGGTTGTCCCATGCTGCATTGTTCTCAGACTTAGAGGAACTGTCCTTCACTTGGAGAGCTGGTTACAACTCAGGGACTTGAGCCCCACACTCAGAAGTCACTCAAGAGTTCTCAGGTGACACCCATGAGGCCTTGTGCCTGTCACTCTCCCAAGCGCTGCTATTACTGCTGAACTGTGTAGTGAAATTGAAAATTTTGAGAGTCTAATAAGAAAATTTAGAAGTTAATAAGAATAATTGGTTCTCTAAAGTTGGGCCTTCTAGAAAACTGTAGATCAATGTATACCCCCATCTTGATTCTGGAAATCAAGAGCAGTATATGAAATTGAGATCCTGGTTATCTATTACAAAACTAGGAGTAATGAAAATGTCCACAAAGTGACACTAAAATATTTTTAGCAACAGTTTCTCATGGAATGGTCCAGTATGTTAATGATTGTTAAAAATTTCAGAAATTACTGTAATTGAGTAAAAACACATTACCCACAATATTGCTTTGATAATTTCTGAGTTCTCTTACCATTCTTTCAAGATATTGATATCATTTTTATACTAGTATTATAACTGCATGTTTATACAGTTTATAATGCATATCATCTGCTCTATGAGTTCTTCTGAGGTTCATGACTGTATACTGAAAAAATGTTTTCAGAAATTACTGTAATTGAGTAAAAACACATTACCCACAATATTGCTTTGATAATTTCTGAGTTCTCTTACCATTCTTTCAAGATATTGATATCATTTTTATACTAGTATTATAACTGCATGTTTATACAGTTTATAATGCATATCATCTGCTCTATGAGTTCTTCTGAGGTTCATGACTGTATACTGAAAAAATGTTATTAAGCACTGCCTTTTGTACAAGTGAAAGATGTAATCAGCAGGACTCAATCACTTGCTAGATATGGGGTTTGAGTAATAGAAAGCAACCATGACTTGAAAAACTAGATTTAAAGAAGAATTGTTCATTGAGGCAAACTTGAGTATGAATTAACAAATAAAAAATAAAGAGCAAACTGTAGATAACTTCTGCTGGGCAGAGGCCAGTCTAGTATAATGATAATATTTTCTTACATGTCATCTGTCCTCTCCATGTGTCTATCCTGTTAGAATTGGATCATTTACAAGTATTACATCACAGGGATATTCAGTGGTTCGTGAGTTATCAAACATATTTTCTTTCTTAACTATTATATTGATAAACTATATTATCTGATTTCAGGAAACATGAAATTTTATTATGTTAATTTTCTTAACTATTGATTGTTTACTGTTTTTCTTAGGCCATAAATTTTTTTTCTATAAGAATGAACATTTCACATAATGAAATTTGTTTTGAATTAATTCAGTGCATACCAAGAATGTGTGCTGTAGAGGCAGAAAAGGAAATTCACCAGATGTCATGAAGCCAAAGGAATAAATCACACAGGTGTGAACACATTCATGGACCCAGATGCTCCCAAGTCATCCACTTAAAAACTCACACAAACTAATTGCTGTTAAAAGATGAGGTGAATATAGTTAGTCACCCCAAATCTAGCCAAGGAGGATCTCAAGTTAGAGGCTGGTAATAGGCAGATACTTTTGTCAGCTTGATCCTGCTTGAACATGAGTGTAGACTGCCATGAACACATGCCTTTATCAAATTAAATATATCAGAGGGTGATCCTTCAAAACCAAGAGTTCAGTCACTAATCTTTAAATGAAAAAAATGTTGTCATTTATCAGTCCTTGCTTCCAATGTGTGATCCAACAGTTAAAATTCATTTGGACAGCTGTGTGCAGGTATAAGGAGGGGTGTTGCTTTGGGTCCATGAAGTTGTCTCTGTAACCAATGAAAGTCTTCTGCCCGTTGAAAGTAATGGGTTCTGTTTCACAGAAAAACAAATGCCTTTTGTACATACATTATATTGATAAATTGACAAGTGCCATTTAGACTCATTGAGAAGCTGTCTCTGGAGAGGGTATTTGATCCTCTTACTTTAGATTCAAGCATGTTTGTCTCAAAATGTCCTCCAAAGCCACTGTTGTTGGTCAGGCTGGTCCCCTGACTCTGTCACAAGGAAGAAAAACAACAAAACAGCCAAGGAGTAAAGGCATTGTGTTCTAAAGAACAATTAAAGCATAAATTCTTTCCAACAAAATTTGCTATTGTTTATTTTATGACACAAAGATATCTATAGTAAATGTAGTTAATAGGATTCACATCCATGGAGAGAACAGACATGACTTTCTGCCTGGAAGTCACTCAACCAGTAGTTGCAATATGATGGTCTAAGTAGGGTTGTTGAGCTGGATGGTAGGGAATGTTATGAACGTAGAGTTGAGGATATTTTGCTGTCTTCTGCTTCTCTCTATTTGCTACTTATACTCATCTAAAACAAAAAGCATGGCTAGGGAGATAGTTCTCTGGACTATACAAACTTCAAAATAGAGAGGGAAAGACCTGGAAATTGCAGCTGAGGAAGTCTTTGATGAAGATTAGGAGACTCAAGAATTCTTTTTATCTGGTCCCTT